GGGGGGGGGGCAGAGTGGGCACTCAGGTGAGAGAGAGGAGAAGAGAGGAGAAGAGAGGGGTGAAGTCAAAACCTGCAAATGAATACAGAGGATTAGAAGAAAATGGGTCTGTCATTGAGAGAAGGGGGAAGGTGTGAACCTAGTTTCAGGATAATTTTGGTTTCGGGTGTCTTTCTGCTATAGGAGTTGAGAAACCCTTCTTTGAGAACGCAGACGGAGAGATCAGTGTGATCATGGCCATCAGAGGTTAAATGAGAAACTCTGGGCTTGGAGAAATCTTTGATCTTCACAGCCCTAACATGTTCTCTGAAGCGGTCTCCGAGTCTCCTTCCTGTTTATGTTGAGGGTAAATCGTGCTGCTCTTTCTTCAGGATCTGCATGGGTATGATGTGAAGTCTGATATTTATAGCCTGGGGATCACTGCCTGTGAGCTGGCCAGTGGGAGAGTTCCCTTCCAGGATATGCACCCAACTTTGGTAGGACTCTTCCTCTTCCTTAACAACCTCACATTCACACACCGGGCTATTGTATCTTGGTCATTACCACTGTCCTTGCTTTATTATGCCAAATGCCAAAGATTCGTAAGCTAACACTGTCGATACACTGTGTTGTTACAGTATCAAACTGAATTAACTACACAATGGCATGAAGAGGTTTTTGTAGGTGGCTTCGTGGAGTATTAAAGATATTCACACTGGCAAGAAATAAAAGCAAAAGGCAGAAATGTAGCTCTGCTAAGCATTCCTGTAACGTGATCTTCTTTTCTGGAGTCTTTAAGGTTTTTTGTCTGGTAACTCCTGGTGCACTACTGCAATTGCAGACTTAACATTGTACTAAAAGCTTAGTGTCAGTGTAATGTCTAGGGCAAAGGACTACTGTGTCTGCTGGTTTAAGCTTTTTACTCAGCTCCACATTACCAATGCTAAATGAACTGCTTGCTTGTTGAGATTGTAGGATTGTTTCTACACTCAAGTCAGTCCAGATTTTCAAAAATGACCTGTTTTAAGGACATTGCTTCCAGCCAGTTCAGCATACAGAGCTTATAGAGCCTATAGGCAATGTGGAATATGGACATGAATAGCTGCCTATAAAAATATATTTCATGTGCTGTCTCATACTTAGGAGCAAATGATCTTGTTATTATGACAAAGCACGCTTAATCTCATTTTGAGATACTGTAGCAATGATCATTTGAGTATAGACAATGACATTGTGCAATGACAGCACCTAGAAGCTACTAATAGCTAAGCTGGAACTGTGGGTTTAATGTTTGTGACAATGTCCAACACTGCAGAATGTGCCCGCACTGTCATTCCACTGTGGCTTAGTCATAATGAAATGTTACAATTTGTACCTTATGTGAACACAATCATAACCATGAGAACACTCACATTTATCCATAATCAAGAAAGGGTGTACCCTGCAATCAATTCCACTGTTTTTGGACTTAAAGTATACTGGTGATTCTAGCTAATTATTGTATGACAATTGTGCTACAGCATGATTATCACATAAAGAATGTGAAAATGTACGAGAGAATTTCCTCGTAATTACAAGATAGCACGTGAGTTTTTTTTTTTCCTTGATAGTAGCAATGTTCTTTTGTAGTGTCGCAGTAATTAGGGATCAGTCCAGGGATCTGGACTGGACTCATAACTGGAAGGTTGTGGGTTAAAATCCCAGATGAGATATTGCTGTGTCCCTCGACAAAGTACTACATCGAAATTGTTGCTCTAAAATATCCAGCTGTATAAATGGAAACCAGTGTAAGTTGCTTAGGATAAAAGTCCCACCCAAATAAAACAGTAATAGTAACTTTAAGCAATCTCTCCTCATCTTGCTTGCCTTTATTTCTTACTCAACAGCTATTAACAGATGATCACTTTATGATGTACTGTATAGACACAAGGTGTGACTGACAGTGAATCGAACAGGCGCGTAAAGAGCGTTTTGTTTTGTTTATACTGGGTAATATTCCATACGTCTGAATTAACACCCATTCCAAATCCTATTTAGCATCAGAAGAGCTGAAAGCCAATTTCAAAATTTGTCACAGGTAGAAAATTTACAGCAGTGAGCTTGTAATAAGAGCTCGACTGGAGCAAAAAAACCCAGAACCAGGTTGTGGAACCACAGCTCGAGGGGCAGCGTCTGTGGGGTTAATCGTAGCTGCTCACTCCACTCCTGCTCTCTCGGTGGTGTTGCTAACTGTGCCGGTTTTGTTCCAGATGCTGCTGCAGAAGCTCAAGGGATGGCACTGCTGTCTGCTGGATGTCGCGCCCTTCCCCCTGCAGGGGCTGGGGTTGAAGGCGTCCCGTTCCGGGGTGGACTCGGGAATCGGGGAGAGTGTGGCCACCTCCAGCATCATGAGGACGATGACCAGCGAGCGTCCACAGAGTCCTGCTCCGAAGAACCACTCTGCTCTCCTGCACCACCTGGTGGAGCTGTGTCTGCACCAACAGCCAGAGAAACGGTACATGAGCTAACCTACCTAAAGCATTTTTTCTTTCCCACTTAGATATTTGATTTTGTTAGAAGGCTTAGGGGGCGGCGCAGTGGGTGCAGTGGTAGGCATTGCTGCCTTGCAGCACTGGGGTCCTGGGTTCATTTCCTGAAGTGCTAACTGCATGGAGTTTGTATGTTCTCCCCATGTTCCCACGGGTAGCAGCCAGCACCTATATCACCCTGCGACTCGCAACTGGCAGCCCACTGAGGCTCAGCAGGTGTGAGCCTGGTCAGTATCTGGATGGGAGACCTCCGGGGAAAAACTAAGGCTGCTGCTGGAAGCGGTATTAGAGGGGCCAGCAGGGGGCGCTCACCCTGTGGTCTGTGTGGGTTCTAATGCCCCATTATAGTGACAGGGACACTATACTCTAAAAAGTGTCCTTTGGATGAGACGTAAAACCGAGTGTACTCGGTTACTTACTCTCTGTGGTCATTAAAAATCCCAGGGCGTTTCTCGAAAAGAGTAGGGGTGTAACCCTGGCGTCCTGACCAAATTCTCCCCTGGCCTTTGCCAATCATGGCCTCCTAATAATCCCCATCTATGAACTGGCTTCATCGCTCTGTTCTCCTCCCCACTGAAAGCTGGTGTGTAGTGAGCATACTGGTGCACTTTGGCTGAAGTAACATCATCCAGTTGGTGCCGCACATTGGTGGTGGCGATGGGATTCTCCATTACCTATAAAGCGGCTTGAGTGGAATGTCCAGAAAAGACCTATATAAGTGTAAGGAATTAGGAATTATTCCCACAGTCCAAAGCCAATAGTGGTAGGTTAACTGACTTCTGTGAAAACTGGCCCTGGTGTGTGTGTATGTTTATATTTGCGTCTGTCTGCCCTGCAATGGACTGGCATCCTGTCCAGGGTGTACTCTGTCTTGTACCTGTTTCTTGCCAGGACAGGCTCTGGGTCCCCTATGGCCCTGAATTAGAAAATAGGATAGATAGAAAATTAAGCAACCAAAAATATGGAAGCACAAGTTTTTATTTAGAGGCAAGGACATCCTTCAGTATATTCCTTCTTTTCTGAAAGACAGTGTTCCCATCATTTCACTTGGGAGATTAGTTGAAGTAGAACTGTAATAATAAATAATAATGATAATAATAATAATTGCTTACACTTATATAGCGCTTTTCTGGACATTCCACTCAAAGCGCTTTACAGGTAATGGGGACTCCCCTCCACCACCACCAGTGTGTAGCCCCCACCTGGATGATGCGACAGCAGCCATAGTGC